AATAGTTTCCTCTTCTGCAGGTAATTTTGGTTGAACTTTTACATGCATGTCTAATTTGGACCTGGCCTCAGAGAGTGGCTTGGAGGAATAGGCAAAACATTAGCAAATACATGGGTAAAATATTGCTATGAAATAAATGTGTCTTTTCCTTCATTTATTACCTGCACAACGCTACCCATGAAGGACGCAGCCACAGCCATGGAGGTACACATCACACCAAATAAGATACCTGAAAGGAAAAAAAAAAAAACTTCGTTACCATTATCCAAACTGGCTTTGAGGGGTTCCTTTAGCTTCTGCCCAGGACTCCCTCTGACCAGGCCCTATTGGAAGGGATGTCAGTAAGAACCATCCTCCCTTCTCAGTCCTCACAAGCCCCAGGAGGGGAATTTAGGATATTTTCTCCTCATAACTAGCTCTCCTAGGTCAGGCAGAAAGAGCTAGAACCTAGCTAGTGTCACATACTTTTCTATCCAGGACTCAAGAAGAAAACTGTCATGTGAAAGCAACATGAAACTATGGAAAGGGCGCTCACAGAGGCTAATCCAGACTAAATTAGTGGGAACTAATTTCAGTTCGACTAACCAACAATCACCTGAAGAAGATACTAACCTCTCTGGGATTCTGATAGTTTTTCAACTTGGAAATCACTAAACAGCTATATATTTTATCTCAGAGGTTTTGCAAATCTGGAAAGTTTCCTGGTCTATTTCCCAATAGTATTTATGCATACTATCCTTATGGTATATTGTGTAATGAATTATTTGTTTTGCATATCTATGTGGGAGGACCGTAATGGCCATCGGGTACCATACTCTGGAGGACCTTAAATGGTGCCTCCAGCATCATAGGGTCTTGCTGAGTGAATCGGCATATACGTCTTAGTCATCTTTTAAAGAACATGTATTCTTTTAAATCGTCTTTTAAAAATAGATTTTTAGTGTATTTTTGTTTAAAAATCACCTTAAGAGTACATTTGATGCCCATAAACTAAAAAAGAGGAAAGAGACACAGAGTTGGAGATAGACCTAGAGGGAAACACAATGACAGAAACAGAGAGAAAATGATTTTGCTCATTCTGTTTGAAATTCTCTCTCAGCTAAATATCTAGCTCAGTTTCCAATGGGACTATTAATTCCATTTTGTCAGACACTTTACTAGATGCCAGTGCTATACAGTTAGAACTTGACACCTGCCCTAAGGATCTCTCATTCTAAAAAGGGACTACATGTAAATACATGTAAATATATATCTAACAGTGTTTGATACATAGGCAAGTACTATGTTTTGCCAATATTATTACTTATTATTATTACATTCAGGTTTAGTAAATGATTGCTATGATCAGGAACTCATTCAAAATTAAATCAGGTTGGCAACTTTTATGCTGTATTTCCCAACTTCTCAATCTGACACAGAAAAATAAGGAAACTCACAAAACACTAAAACCAAGTTTGATCAATAAACACATTTCAGAATTCTAAAATTGTTCCTGTTATCTTTAAAGATGATAGATTAGATTGCAGAAAACAATGTTTGCCCTGATTCTGTGTTGCTTTATAAATGAGGACAACATTACCTTCCTGAGGAAAATCACAAAAGATATGTTTCCTCTCGACTATTGATTACCCTTTTGCTAGACCAACAGTTATGTGTTCAGGTGAGAATCTAGGCAACCACCCCTCAACCCAAGAATTCTGCTTTTGTGCTGACTAGAGAATTGATCCAGCCTCCTCTCCCAAAAATCTTTATACTTCCACCAGATTGCAATCAATAGCAACCTGCAAGTCAGGGAGTTTAGGGAAATTGGTGGGGGTTCTGTAGAGACCCGGAGTACATGGACCCACAGACAAAGCAGCAAATGTGAGAGGGAAAGGAAACTCCACAGTTGCAGCAGATGCTGTGGGTTTTCCCAGCGCTGCATCAGCCCAGAGGATCAGACAATAAACCATGGGCATAAAGAAACTTGTACCTCAACCCAGCATACTCATAAATGTCTGCTAGAAATTGGGATCATACTGGGAGCAATGCCCATCCACCTGTTATTAGCTCTAATTCATTATTCAAGATAGTAAATAGGTCCAGGCGATTCAACTAACCAGATAGTAAGCATCTGGTCAGTGTTGATCTCTCCTTGTTCAAGCATAAGTAAAAAGAAACAGAATATATGTGATTCATGGCAAATATTGTCAAACAAGGGAATAAATATATTCATCTAAATGCTCAAGTAAAGACTATGCTTTCTGGAAATAATTTACCTTGAGAACCAGAAAAGAAAAGTATTTAGAAACTGTTTGGCAATCTCAATATGATGCAAAAATATGTAAACTCAATGAAGCAAGTAAGTAAAGGGCAAGAGGAAACAAATGAGATGAAAAAAAACAAGACAGAGTACAACATCAATATATATATGAAGATGGACTCAGGAGTGATAAAGAATGAACACAAGAAAATAAAAACCATGATAGTTGACCAAGCACTTCTACTCTTATGTATTTACAAAAAAAAAGATTGTACTAAAGTATTCATAGCAGCTTTATTTATTATAACCTCAAACTAAAATAGCCCAGGTCTACCAATAGAAGTAGAAGTTTAAAAACCTGTGGTACATCCATACAATTTCAAACTACTCAGCAATGGAAAGGGATGGACCATGGGTACACATAGAAAATATGGATTAAACTCAGAAATATTATGTTGCGTGAAAGGAGTCTTACAAAACGTGTGTGGACTGTGCGATTCCATTTATGTGAAATTCTAGAAGAGGAAAGTATCAGAATAATGGCTGCCTCTGGAGGGGAGTGGGAGCAGGGATTGACTGGAATGAGCAAAAGAGGACTTTCCAGGGTTATGCTAATGCTTTACATCTTTAATGGCTGGATCACACAGGTGTATGAATATGTCAAAACTTAGCAAACATATACTTAACATGTGTCCATTTCATTGTAGAATGAAAGATAGATTTTGCATTAAAGACAACTTTAAGCAGTTATTGAATTCTAGTTAATAATATGGATGCAAAAATTTAAGGGAAATGTATTTTAACATGCTGATTAATGAATGGTTAGAAATCTGGATGGATATGTGAAAAAGTAAGTTTGGAAACATATTAATGGAGAATTCAGGTGGCATATATATTGGGAATTCATGGTAAAAGTATCCAAACCTTGCTGCATGACTTAATTTTTATAGTAAAATATAAGGAACAAACACAAATAGCACAATTAAAATTATTATTGTTAAACTTTAGTATGTGGAGAACTAAAAATTGACAGAAAAAAAACTTTATTTCTTTAAGTGTGCAGAGAAAAAGAGCCAAGTTTTGGAAATAGGAGAAACACTGAAGGAAATGGAGAACAAACAACCCAAACGAGAAGAATATTTGAGAAGAAGGAGATAATTAAACTGCCAATATTAGCAGGCAATTACCATACTTACTAGAAAAACAATTGGAATTTTGAAATCAATCACAGTTGGGGAAATGGCAATATATATGCTTTATAAAACAAAACCAAAAAGATATAGCTTTTCCAAAGTGATCATAAACAGTTTAGGAAATATGGGGAAAGCATCTCATTGATAACATCAATGAAAGAAGAAAAAAAGAAGGAAGAAGAGAAAAAGGAGGTGGAGGAAGAGGAAGAAGAAGAGGAGGAGGAGAAGAGGAGGTCAAGCAGGAGGAAAAAAAGACATGGGTATAATTAATATCTGGAATCAAAATTGTTATATCATTAAATGGAAAAAAATAAATTATTATTTAGATGTAAAACTTACAAAAATGTCAATTCTTCCCAAATACATTTTCAGGTTTAATGCAATGCCATGGGGGAGAGTACAGTTAGGTAACATGCAATATATTATTTTAAAGTTAATCTAAAAGAAAAACTACACAGGAATAGCCAATGTTTTTTGTTTTGTTTTTTTGTGTTTTTTTAAAGATAACAATAGAAATATTTTTAAATTTTAAGCTAAAAAAAGGTGACACAATTAGTAGCTATAATTTTTCAAGTTCATGTTTTCCAAAATAACTACATTTTCTATAATAAGTAAGTAAGCATATAGCTTGTTTATATTTAGAAGTAAAATGTATAAAACTATAATTCAAGATAATAAGTGTTATTGTGATTAAAAATGTAATATGCAATTTTATGATTAAACAAAGAGAAAATCTTATTTGAGTTGAGGTTACTGGGAGCTGGGTAATACAGGATTCTTTAGAAAAGAATTTGATTTTAGAAAGGGACTGGCCACAGTGATCAGAATATCTTCCCATGTAGAGGAACTAATATGATCAATGCATAGCATAATCAAAAGATGCTGATCTGATGAATCTGAGATGTAGGCTAAACACAAAAGGAGGTCAAAAATAAGAATGGTGAAAGGTAAGCTGCTAGCTGGTACCCTCCTGGTATCTTTGCAAGTATAAGAATCTACATGTGAGATTCCTCATGTGTCCTGAATAGCATGTGCAGGATTTTGACATGTACCACATGTACATTTCATGACATGGAATTAAGACCCCCTGGCTATACCTACATAAGCCTTTACTGATCCAGGTACTCAGCTTGTCGGAGAGATGGGGAAAACAGCTCTTGACAAAATCCTCAAAGGTCACTGTTGCTAAGGCATTGATGCTGGCAGCCACGGTGCTACAGGGAGAGAAAAGAGAGAACATAGTCCAGGTAAATAAAGCTAAGCCACCCGCTTGCAGTTTTCCAGGGCAAATAGACAAGGGCTCTAAGAAAACAGAACTCCAGGGGAACCACATGGCCTATCTACTCACTCTTCAACGCTGCTTCTGTGCTTAATGTTCTTTTAATTCTTCCACAAAGTCCACTGAAAAAGCTAGCTTTTCATGTTTTAACTCCAACTAATTTCTTTTAATAATATATTAAATGAGTTAGCAGAGAGTAACAGAGATTGTGTATGTGGGTGTTTGCTTGGGTGTGGCAAGGTGGGGACAGCTTAGATTAGATTTAAAGCAAGAAGTGGTGACTGCCCTAACCCAGGTGTCAGTTCACTTTGCCATTCAGTAATGATTCATTTATTCATCAATACCCTTTCATGCATCTGTTTATTCATGCTGGGCACTGGGCATACAATAGTGAACAAGAAAGACAAAGATCTCCCACTTCATTTGGCCACAGGGAAATTTAACAACCAATTAAGTAATTGATAACAATTGTAAAAACTGTGACAAAGGAAAATAACAAAGTGCTATGACAACGTGTCTCTCAGACCTAAACCAGTATAAAATTAAAAAATTCTCCCCTGAGGAATTGATGGTTATGGTAAGCACTGAAGACACCCATGCATATTGGGGAAATGATGTTCTAGAACAAAAGGAAAATTACATTTAAATTCCTGAAAGCTCCTTGCATTCAATAACCTGGAGCCATGAGAGTGGCTCCTGTGTAATTAGTAAGGGAGTAAAAGACAAAGGGTAAGACTGGGGTGGAGCCAAAGACCTAAACTCAGGAAAGCTCTGACTTTCCAATCAGAATTCAGTTGTATGGCCTTAAAACTCACTTAGGTGACAGAGGACCTGAAAGTTGTGGTTTTCTTTGTGGAATGACATGGAATCTTATTGAATTCCTTATAGAGACCAGGAATATCTCAGCCAGAGAATAGATAACCATATTAAATTCACATGGTGCAAAATCACAACCACAAACCAAAGTTCTGGAACAGAAACAAGCTGATGAATGAAGCCTGGCTAGCTATTTTCAGTTTTCCATGGACATTCATGAGTAGTTATTTTGTTATCCTCCATTGCACATTTGAAGACTTGCTATAGCTGCATCAAAGGTATGAAAGAAAATTCAAACTTTTTCTTCTTTGATAATGCAGAATAATAGAGCCATTCATTTTAGTTTGAATAGGAATCTAGATCCTCAAAAAATTAAAAATGGGACTTCCTTTGGACCCAGGGATACCACTTCTAGGAATATATCCAAAGAATCTCAAAACACCAATCAGAAAGAACATATGCACCCCTATGTTCATGCAGTGCGATTTACAATAGCCAAGATCTGGAGGCAGTCCAAGTGCCCATTAGTAGATGAGTGGGTAAAAAAGCTGTGGTGTGGTAGCCCGGCTGGTGTGGCTCAGTGGTTGAGTGTTGACCCATGAACCAAGAGGTCAGGGTTCACTTCTGATCAGGGCACATGCCTGGGTTGCGGGCTCTATCCCCAGTGGGTGGCATGCAAGAGGCAGTTAATCAATGATTCTCTCTCATTATTGATGTTTCTATCTTTCTCTTCCTCTCTGAAATTAATAAAAACATTTTTTAAGAGCTGTGGTACATTTACACCATGGAATACTACTTGGTTGTAAAAAAGGAAGGACAATAGTTTGGTGAGGGCCTAGAGAGGGAGAGGAGGGGTGGATGGAGGTAGGAAAAGGGGGCAGGGGAAAGGGTATCACCTAAAATAATGTCAACATTAAAATTTTTAATTAATAAAAGACAGTTTGCCACTAACCGTGGGTCCTTGCAGGTGCCTAGTGAGTGTGGTGCAGGCCTAACAGCTTCCCTGGAGCCCCAGTGGTGGTGAATAATTTGTTTTTTAATTTAAACAATAAATGAAAATAAATAACAATTTGCAAAAAAAATTAGTACACTTGAACCTATATAATTGTATTAACCATTGTCACCCCAATAAATCCAATAAATATTTTTAAATGTTCTGAAAAAAGAAACAGTGTATACAATATGATCTCTTTTTTATACACTAAAAGGTATATATGTTCACATAAGTAAAAAATGTTCTGATTTGTTAATAAGAAATCATTAACACTGATTAATATAGTGAGTTGTGACAAGGGGTTTGAGGTATAAGATATAAAATTTTTACTTTTATGATCTGAAACTGCTAGAATTTTGACCCTGATAAAGTAACTATGTTAAAATTGGCCTTGAACAATTCTGTAATTGATTCTTTGCAATTGAGCTCTAAGAAAGGAAACAAGATTTTCCCACCAGCTGAGTCTCTGATTCATAAAGGGACATAATATAAACCTTCTAAAATATTTCTCTGAATAATTTTGAATTTAGAATAATGTCTGCATGTGGAGGAAGGCAGTGGGTCCAGCTTAAAGGAAAATAATGACGCTATCTTACTGTTTTAGAACATTGCTCCTAACACGGTTGCCCCTCCAAATCATTATCATCTCTCACCTGAATTAAGACAAATGCCTCCTAACAGGTCACTCACTTGCACCACTCATGCTTTTATTATAGTCCCTTCCCCACATGGAAAACTGAGTCTTAACTGTATGACATCACTCATTCCCTTGCTTCAAACCTTCTAATGCCTTCCCATTTCATTTGAAATGCCAACTCTACCATTTCATGAAGGTCTCCATGATCTGATGCCTGCTCACCAATTCAAACTCATCCTCATCTGCTCTCCTCTCCTCCCAGTTTCTCATGCTTTAACTCTTCTCTTCATTCCTAAAATATTCTATGCAGTTTCTCTTCAGGGGTTGGGGAGGGACTTTGGAATTTGCTCTTCTACCTGCCTGTACAGGTTCCTGCCCATGCTCTTCAATACCTGGCTTTTTCACATGCTTTATCTCTCAACACAAAAGTCACCGACTCAAAGGGGAGATCCCTAAAGACCCTATTAAAAATATAACCCCAGGCCTGACCTCTCTCTCAGATATCACTCTGTTATTTCCTTTAAATTATTTGTCATTATCAAACTATATCTAGTTTATTTTGTTCACTTATATATTGTGTATCTTCCACGTCAATTAGAATGCAAACTCCATATGAGGGCAATGGCAGTCCTGTTTCTGCTCAGTATCCCTACCTCCCCACAGTCTTCAACTGTGTCTGGCATAATATAAACCTTCTAAAATATGTGTCTGAATAAATGTATGAATAATTTTGTATTTAGAACAATGTCTACATGTGGAGGATGGGCGTTATTAGCTGCCTGAGTGTGCTATTGAAAATGGGGAGAATGGATTGCAAAGGATAGATCTGTTGAATGATAAATGCCACCAAGCGAGCTGCCTTGTGATAGGGTGATGTGAAATTGTGGGAGAGCGGGCATCAGACAAGGTTGAGAAAATAACCAGAGAGGTCTAGTGTAGGCTCAGACCTAGGCTTACATCCTGCCCCTGCAGTTTACTATGACCCCTTGGGTAAGTTTTAGCTACCTTGCTAAATTTCCGTTTCTTATCTATAAACTGATGATAATATGAGTAAAGTTTCAGTTGCATGTAAAGTGTGGCAACTAATGAGCAAATACAAATAAAGCATTCAGCAGGGAAGTTGGCACACAGTAAATACTCAGTAAATACTAGTGATCACTACCACCATCCCCCTTATCATCCTCACAGTTACCATCGTTATCATCACAGCACTAACCTCAGAGTTCCACTGAAGGCACAAGCCACAAAAAGTCCTGGTAGCCCAGGCATCGTGGCAAATATCTCCATGACAAAGTACGGCATCAGCTGAAGAGGAGGCAAACAAGATAGGATTAGTGGTCTCATCAGCAGTGTCTGAAATGTGAGAATGTAGCTTTTTAGCAAAAGAAAGTGAAAAAAATACAAATGTAATAATAATAGAGGAGTTTGCCTGGACTAAGGTAGCTGCATACTAGCAAATGATGTTATGGTCAATCCAATTCCATGGACCTGAGGTCCAGCTGTAGGGGCATGGAAGGGGTAGAAAAGAGACAGTATTAGGAAAAAGGGCTGGACAAAATTTAGAAGGTTCAAAATTTAAAATGTTTCTTTTTTTTTGTAAAGTATGATATTTTTTGTTTACTGTTAAAGTTAGCAATTAAACCCTAGAAACAAATGCTTAACACAGGTCTTTAGCCCAGCTGGCATGATTCAGTGGTTGAGGGATGACCTATGAACTAGGCAATCACAGTTCCGTTCCTGGTCAGGGCACATTCTTCAGTTGTGGGCTCTATCCCCAGTGAGGGACGTGCAGGAGGCAGCCGATCAATGATTCTCTCTTATCACTGATGTTTCTATCTCTGTCTCTCTCTTCCTTCCTCTCTGAAATTACTAAAAATATATTTTCAAACAAAAACAAACAACAAAAAAACAGGTCTTCAGAGAATCTAGGTGTTACAGTTCTACTCTGTAGCCAGATTTGTGAGAGAGAAGTCCCCATAGGATACAGTAAGACAGTTGAATATATAGGGGATCATATTGCCCACAAAGGGAGGTTTTTAAAAATATTTTAAATAATTTTTTAATCCTCACTTGAGGATCTGTTTATTCATTTCAGGGAGAGGTACAGGGAGAGAAAGAGAAAGAGAGAGCGAGAGAGAAACATCAATCTGTTGCTTCCCACACATGCCCTAGCCAGAACCAAACCTGCAACCTAAACATGTTCCCTGACTAGGAATTGAACCCACAACCTATTGGTAACATTGACAACCAAACTCATTCGTTAGTCACACCTTCCTCTCTCCTCAGCCTTGTCCTAGTTCCTGGCCTTGTCTTCAAGGAAAAGGTGAGGTACCTTCTTTTCACATGTTTATTCCCTTATTTTAGACCCTCATATGTGGTAATGTACCCAAGAGGAGAGGAAAGCCATCTAGTCTTTGGGGTGTGGAAAGTGGTTATAGATCCAGGTGAAAAAGAGAAAGACCCCACATTACCCATCAATGGCTAAAAACATGCTCGTTTCAGCCATTGCCCAAGGGAACATGTACCTGGTCTGGCGCTGAGATAATGCCAGAAGTCCAAGGGTCGCAGTCTTTGAAGTAGGAGTACATGATCAAGCCAGAGAAGACAGCACACACCAGAATAATCCAGAGACCCACCAGGTTGAAGTACAAGGCTCTAGAGAAGAACACATGGGTCTATTGGTAGCCTCTATGCCCGTGGTCAGCAAACTGCGGCTCGTGAGCCACATGCGGCTCTTTGACCCCTTGAGTGTGGCTCTTCCTAAGCCTTAGGAGTACCCTAATTAAGTTAATAACAATGTACTTATCTATATAGTTTAAGTTTAAAATATTACATTTTTTAGACTGATTACAAAAGTTGAATGAAATAGATTTTTGATGGATTTTCTTTTTGAAATTGGGAGTTTTTCTGCAAAACCTCAATGTGTGGTGTGAGATCTATTTTCTCAGATGAAATTTCACATATCACTCACATATAGCTTCAAGTGATGTTCCTCCCACTCAATTAACAAAACTGTCAAAAAGCCAACTTACATTTTAACGTATTTCCTTCCAGAGGGATAAGAAGATAAATGTAGGCATAGACAAGTTTTGGAAATACACACTTTGGAGATTCATTCACATGAAAGTTAAAGTGTTTTTTAAAGAGACAATAGAAAGTATGAAAAGCCCAAGGTCATTTTACGTATCTTTTTTTGGAGCAATTTGTTTTATTCTGTGATACACAGATATGTTTAATGATAATTATGCATATAATTTTGCAGCATTCTGTGGTTATTTTGCATTTATGACTGACCTTTGAAAGTCAATTACTCATTTTCTTAATCTCAGAGGAGACTTGAAAGTAGGCTAACCTTACATTCGTCTGAGAGAATAAATCTCAATCTGTCTCTAGTTGCAGGGACCAGGAGAGCAACACTGAGCATTTTCTTGGATCCACTCATTGTGTGAAGGGAATTAAATACATCCACATTCAACTGTAAGGACACACATTCATTTCAAAGGCCCCCAAGACCTGTGCTGTACAGCTATACCTAACTTTCACAAAACCCTTCAATCAAAGTATTTATTTATGAAGCAAATAAGTTAAATAATTATCCCATTGAAAAGTTTTTATTTTACATGATTTACATTAGCAAAGGGTCTTATCTCAAAAGTTGCTTCCTTGGGAGTAGTCTAACCATGTTTACCTTTGAGTTTTATTTGTTTGTTTTTATTGGTAGGGGCTTGAATTAGAGATAGCCTTTTGGAAATACCATTGATACATAAGGTGACCCATACTTATGAATGGCATCGGTTGCACTCTCACTATTCCTCCATCCAGGCAACTCTGTATACCAGCTTCTTCTGAGTACGTGGGATAGAGCAGTGAGCATTCAGAAGCCACCCTCATGGAGCTGGATATTCTGGGACTGGAGGCAAGTAATAACTGCTGACATCAATTAAATAAATAAGATTATCTTTGCTGTGATAAGAAATATAGCCCTGACTGGTTTGGCTCAGTGGATAGAGTGTTGGTCTGTGGACTCAAGGGTCCCAGGTTTGATTCCAGTCACGGGCATCAAAAATAAATAAATAAATAAATAAATAAATAAATAAGAAATATAAAGAAAGTAAACAAAGGCAATGGGAATGGAAAATAAGTGACTGTGCTTGGATGTGCTGGTCTGAGCTGGGAGATGGGATGGCATTGAGAAGGGTCTTATAACCTACATCAACTCCTCCTACCCTCAGAGCACCACTTCCTGCTAGCAGTGCTAACAGATAAAGGATATCTTCAATTCTAGTTCAATTTAAAGCAGAATTTTAAATGGCTGTTAATTTTAGATGAATATCAAGATCAAAGACACATTTGATCTTAAATACATTTTCAGAAATTCAGCTATTTGATAAAGTGATGATTATGTGTGTAGAGGATTTGTTAATACTATTTATTATCATAGGATATAAGTATCTTAATAGTGAATTGCTGAAACACTAGATAATACTTTCACTTCTGAGAATGTGTGAAACATGTAAAGTGATATATTCCCTTTTAGAATGCAAGTTACAACAGGGTAAACCATGCCCAGGCAATTTTATCTTTCTTTCAGTCTACATAAGAAAATGTGCATTGAAAGTACTTTAAAATCAGTTGCAGGAATATTCATAGCGACTGATTCTCACTGTAAGAAAAGTTGAGGGCATCCTGACAAGTCAGGGGAGTCTGGAACCTTGGACAGCAGCAATGGGGATATAAGCTATGCTAGTTTGTTTCTATCAGTTTTGCAAAAGAGTGTGTACCTTCCTGTGGTCCCCACTGGAGAGCGTGGGCTGGCTGACAGGGCCTGGAAAAGGCTTGACAAGCCGTGTGCCTGCTGGAGTCCTTTGGAGTGAGCAGGCCTGGCAAGGATATCCTGGCAGGACTTGGAGCACCGAGAGCCCCATTCTGACCTGCCTCATTACCTTGGGTTGTCTTCTTTTTCAATCTCCCCTTGGACATTTTAAAGGTATATCCATGCTGAACCAAATCAGTGATAAAGGTCAACTTGAAACTGTAAGAAATACGTGCTGCTTACCTCTGCATCACTCACTACCCACACCTAATTTAACCTAGTTACTTCTCAATAAATGGAGGCAGGAAATGATGGAGAGCCATGGCAGACAGACTATTAAGGTCAAACCCCAGCTCTACCACTTCCTTGCTGAGATGGGAATAGTAATGCATGCTTCAAAATATTGTTGGAAGAATTAAACGAATCTTTCTGTTTCTCTGTCTCTTTTCTACACACATAACATTAGGAAGAATATGATGAGTACCCAATAAGAGCAGAGAAAACATAGAGATGTTTCTTTATTCATAACTTACAGCTTGGCATGCTTCTCTGTTTTGCAAGAAATGCATCGCTGGATGGTTGACTGATTAACTCCATAGATCCCGAGCCACGTAAAAGTTCCCCCCACTGAGATGGTCCAAAAAGTGTGCCGCCTGAGAGGATCGACATCAAAGCTACGAGGCAGGGAGAAGTGAGTGAACAAAGATTTGTTTTTTTTAGGGGATTAGATCATGCAGCTAAATCTTTATAAAACATGGAAAAAGTAGCCTTGGACATACTCAATTATGTGTAGTCGAGATCCATTTGTTGATAGCTCTAATACATTGTAAAATCCACCAGTTTGAGCCGATCCTTGAATGAGGACTGTTAAGAAGCCCACAATCATGACCACCATCTGGAATGCATCTGTCCACACCACCGCTTTCAATCCTCCCTGAAATGGAGAGAATGGGTGAGAGTTCTAAAAATGAAGCCTGCAAACTTCCATCGCTGTAAACATGAACCATATTTCTTTCTTTCTTCTCTCTTCCTTCCTTCCTCTTCCTTTCTTTCTCCCTTTTCTTCTTTCTTTTTTTCAGCACAGCTGCTGAGCCCCTTTTATGTGTCAACTATGATGTTAAGCATGGGATGAAGAGAGATAGATTTCTTCCTTAATTTCAGAGTTTAGGATCCAGTGGGAGAAGCAGATACTAGACAATAATGTAACATTTTACTTAAAATTGTGGAAAGTGCAATTAAAAAGGAAGAGTTCCTATGAAAGCATAGAGCAGGGAGTCCTGACCTGGTCTTGTGAAAGTGTCACTAGAGCTAAGTTCTGAAGAGTGAGTAGGAATTTATCAGGAACAGAGGACAATGAGGAAAGGGGAGCAGCATGTGTGAAGCAAGGAGAAGCTGCCTGAGGAAGTAAGAGAGCTAGAATGTACAGATTGAGGAATATATAGAATGCCCAAAGGGAGGTTGCTGAATTTGCTAGAGACCAGATTTTGACAAGGCCACTTAAATGATTTCTCAAGAGCAATAAGAGAACATTAAATAGATTTATATAATGAAAGCTTTTATTTGTTTCTCAGTAGTTGCAGTGATGATTGTGAGGACAATAAATTGCAAGGACCACAGGAGAAAAGTTGAGAGACCAACTCAGAGTTTATTTCAGTAGCCCATGTGCAAAATGACTGCAATTGAAGAAATAGAAGTTGATGGATTTCAAAGATATTTGGGAGGTAAAACCAACATAGCTTGTGATTAATTGAATACATTTGAGGAGAAAGTGAGGAAATTGAGGATAATCACCCATGTCTGATTTGTGCAACCTGAGATTTCTTTTCTTTTGTAGTGACAGTGAATAAATTTTGGAAAGCCAAGATGGTAGAATAGTTAGAAAGAAAAGAAGAACTAGGAAGGAATGGTAGAATCTGGATATTAATGGAGAAAGGAGTTTTAAGAGCTGAAGGCTGGTCAAATAGTGAGATGAACAAACTAGAGTGTCGGGAAGATGGATCTAACCGTAGAACAAAGTGTGATTGGACAAAAGGTTAGAAAGGGTGTGGGAAACTGTTTATTGCCTTCACTATTTGATAAGCATAGACAGAGAACCCCCCCCCACCCCCCAAGGCTGGGTGCCTTTGAAGCCCTAGCAAAAGTCAGAGCTAGGCGCCACCTCTATTTGTCCAGACAGTGGTAGCTAAAACTACTCCCCCATTCATTATTATGTAAATCCTTGCTGATGGGCTAGTCTGCCTGTTGCCAGGGGTCACCTGCCTAAGGGCTATACTATGGGTGCATCCCAAATCAATAAAAGCTTGGTGAAGCCTGAGCACGGGAGGAAGTCCTTCCCCTTGAGTTGGACTTGCCCGCCTGGTCCCCCAATATTTCAAATTATCTCTTGTCTTTTCATTTTCATTTATATGCGGCTCTGCTTCCAGGTCCTGAACCCTGACCCACGCGGGATGTGGGAAGGAAACACCCAACAAAAGGGGGTTATCAAACCTGGCTCCTCTTTAGAGTCACTTGGAGAAACTGAAAACAAACCAACAAAGAACAATGTCTGAACCCCATCCCCGGGAGGAAAATTGAGAGCTGGGGTAGAAATCAGTCCTCAGAGTGTTTTCTGAACAATCCCCAAGTGATTCTAATGTACAGTTCTAGTTGAGAACATGTGGACCAGAGGAAAACAGGAAAGAAAGAAGCTGCTAGAATAATCTAGGTATAAAGTCCCTCAGAACAATGGTGAAGGTGGAACAAGCAAATTAGGAAAGATTGAATGAAGTGGAAGGCAGGGGTAGGTGGGTGGAAATGTGCTAGGGTGAGGGACTGCGGCATGGAAGGGTTACAGAATGTTACAGAATGTGCTAAGGGGAGGAAATAAGACATGAGAAATTGAATGTGCTCGGAGGGAGGGGGATGTATGAGGAAGAATTGTGTTGCCAGGATATGAAGAAGGATTGTGTATGTGCTGGGAGGAGGGACTGACGTATGGAGGGGGGTTGCAGGGTTAGGAACCATGGAAGAAAAATTGCTAGATTGTCTTAGACCAGTCAGGTGTGACTCTGTTTTCCCCCCCTTTGTGCTTATGAACTTTCTGTGAACTTCTAAGGTAACACTGTTTTGCTATAAAGGATCATACTGCACCCTTGGTCTCTGCCACATGCCGCGAGGCTTCCCAGAGGGGGAAGGTACGGGCTGTGGTCAGCTGGCCAGCTTAATAAACGGCTTTCAAATTTAAATTCTGAGTCGGTGGTCTATCTCGTTGAGCCAACCCATAACAGAAAGAGATCAACCAAAGAACTAGTAGGCATATATGCATAACCCATGGACACAGACAATAGGGTGTTGAAGGCCTGAGACTGGGGGTGGGGGTGGGCTAGAAGGGTTAATGGTGGAAAAGGGGGGATATAGGTAATACTTTCAATAATAAATATATAAAAAATAAATAGATCAATAAAAATAAAAGAGCTTTGGAAATGAATAGCACTATGAGAAAGCACATGGTATTTTTAACAATAAAAAATAGAATGATCTTCCTTTGCTACTCCTCCAGAGTGTCAAGAACTTCTGTGAAAAGATCACAGGCTTCATCATTGTACCATGAGTGTCACTGAAATATTTAATCAGTCTGTGTTGCTTACTTTCCTAAACTGCGTTTACTAGATTGCAACCAGGGCTTACATTCCTAGAGTGCATACCCCTGGGCAGCAGGAATCACTTCTTATTCTTTTACTATCTTTCCGTTGTCTTAGGCTATGTAGCCATGGGATTATCCGTGTAAAGAGACTGCGATATGTGTGAGCAAACATGTTAGATAAAGAACCCACCATTTTGGTGAGACACTGGAGCCCCTAACCTGGCTAGAGGGTGGAGAAGGGACAGAGGTGTGGTGGGAAGAGATTAGAAGGGTGGATTTATTCACTTAATGAAAGACTTTCAGCACTAGGCTAAGAAGCTTATGCTTCATCATGTAAACAATGGGGAGAATTAGGTCAGTCAAGTGGCATGAAGAAATGGATGTTTTAATCTGCCAGAAGCTAGCAGGGTAGAGGGAAGAACTGACACCAATTTAATAGTCCATTTAGTTCATTTTAACTTACTGTGATGATTAAACTATCCTTACTTGTTTCTGACATCTTACTTTTTGGTTTCTATTTGTTCTACTTTTTCTGTTTGTTTGTTTGTTTTTTTTCTCTTTTCTTCTCTTGCATAAATCAGTTGAGGTTTTGCTTTGTTTTAATTCCATTTTTCCACTTTGATCATTGTATTTAAATGAGTTCCCTTGAAATTTTGCCATAAATTTTTATTTTAAGTAAATTTTTATTGATTTCGGAGAGGAAGGAAAAGGAGAGGAGAGAGAGCTAGGAACATCAATGATGAGAGAGCATCATTGATCAGCTGATTTTTGCACTCCCCTCACTGGGGATCGAGCCTGCAACCCTCTGCATATGCCTTGACCAGGAATTGAACCATGACCTCCTGGTTCATAGGTCAATGCCCAACCACTGAGGCACACTGTCTGGGTGGTGGTATATTTTCTTGGTTCTTCACAGTCAGCTCCTGAAATATCATTTTGCTAAATATACAACTATAGGTTGGTAATTGTTTTATTTCACTGCTTTGAAGATGTTATTCCACTCTTTCTGTCTTCCACTGTTGTTGCTAAGTCAGTCTTTAGCATCCCTAGCACTGTATCTCCTCATCACTGTATAGGCAGGTACCTCAGAACAACTAATCTCAGATAAAGCCAGATGCTTAAGGAGCAGGAGTCTATTTTTAACTTAGGGAGAATTGTGCCTGGAATGGAAGGTAGAGAGAACAGAATGGAAACTTTGTAGCATAAACAACTGGTGAGATTTGCAAAGATGATAAAAGAGAGATAAGGGCATTTTAAAATAGTATATTCTGGGGAAAGAGTAGGAGCAGGGAGGAGGGGGTCAATAGGAGGGAAAAAGGTGGACAACTATAATACTTTCTACAATAAAAATAAATTAATTTAAAAGTTGCATATTCTCATGATATATGTTAACAGAGTATGTGGTATGCACATAATGCCAAAATACATGTAGGTCTGCTATGCGATAATATAGCAAGTACTTTATTGTTCTCTACAGAAAGGAGGAAAGAGAATCCAGCTACCTAAGACCCGTTGTTGTATTTTTAGCTGGATACTTATAGCCTCTGTATATGATGTAAATGGCTTAGAGGAATAAAGGTTCCCGTGGCAGGGCATAGCAAATAATAGGTACTCAATGAAAGTTTGTTGAACTAAGTGAATTATAGCAATTATATAAATGTTGCCAATAACAACCAGGTTTCTTGGTTAAAGACTGAGCATGTATAAAGCTAAATGTTAAATGTTATCATAGTAGCTCCACGAATAAGAGATAAAAGCAAGCTGTGGAATGCTCAGGTTTACAAAATACCAGCCATCCTTGCTTACTCAACCATTGCACAGTGAATTATAAACTCTAACCATGGTTTATAATCACTATAATTGAGCAATTTGTATTTTTCTCAGAAATTGCATTTGGGCCCTAGCCAGTTTGGCTCAGTGGATAGAGAGTGGGCCTACGGACTAAAGGGTCCTGGGTTTGATTTTGGTCAAGGGCACATGCCCGGGTTGCAGGCTCAATCCCCAGTAGGGGGCATGCAGGAGGCAGCCGATCAATGGTTCTCTATCATCATTGATGTTTCTATCTCTCTCTCCCTCTCCCTCCTTCTCTGAAATCAATAAAAAGTATTAAAAAATAAAAAAGAAATTGCATTTGGTCACCTAATTCTCTGATCAAGGAGGTACTTTAGTCATTAAATCTTCTCTTAGCCCTGACTTTCTCAAATGAGCTCAGAGCTTAAATTCCACTAATGGTTGATACCAAAAATAGTTTTAAATAAAACATCAGCACTTTCCTCAGGAAACTGCAACAGATAAGCCCACATACTTCTACTTAATTTTAGAATAGCAATTTCTATATTTAGATGCCCTGCTGCTGGAGATTTGCCCTTATCCTGTATTAGGAGATAGCACTAAATCCTTTTTCACAGCTAGATACTTACCAGAGTGCAGTAGAATGTGCAAACAATTCCTGTTGCAAACACAGAGCCCCAGAGATCAAACCCAGTCACTACAAAAGGAGAAAGAATATTGAAAGAAGTTTTTCTGAGAAAAGCAAGCTTTACCAGTAAAAAGTAACAATATTTTTGTCAGTGTTCTTTATGGGCAAATGGAAATCAAATTAGAGTTTTCTCTTGAATGTTCTGACGTTGACAAAGATTCTTTTATCACATTCTTATACTTTCATTGAGTCCATAAATTTCATGTAATGTTAAAAGCCAACTTTTTATCCTAAAATCCTGAAGCTTCTGATATGCACCAATTATTTGTCTTTTGTTTTTGTGTTACTTTGAGTATATCAAAACCAAATAAACATCAGCCATGGATTGATATTTCTGAATATAAGCAGATAGCATGATTAAACTGAATATTGAGAACTTCCACATATCATAGATACCATTATAAAATTGATTTCACTTTCTTTTTCCTTTTTGTTTCTGGGATTCTATTCTCTCAAAAAGGGTCAAGAATAAATCTTGAAGTAATGACTATAAGCACCGTTTATTATTATACTCAGATTATCTGCTTTATGAAACCACTGAGAAATCACCGCATATTATGGATGATCTTATGTAGTGGTTGTGCATGTATACTACCAAAGCTCCCATCATTACAGTGATTACAAAAAACAAATGATTAAACTGTGTGTTTTGGACCATGTGGGCAAAATCAGGTAACTCATTATTTGCATTACTTTCAATGTTCAACTTTTAGAGGTTTATATTGTGACTCCCACAGTAATTCAGGGCACCCCGAACACAGGAATGTCTCCCCAAGATGTTTTAGGAATATTTCCCAAGGCCAGAATGCAGGCATAACAGTGGTGGAATGTGCCCAGGGAACTGTTGATAACTCACCTTGATTGAGCGCCAGAGCAGGAGCATACACCACCACTCCCGTATAGAGAATCTGGTGGAGAAACAAGCATGAGGTAAACACTGAGAGAAGACACATGGAAGGGAAAGCTGCCTAGAAAGTTCTTTATTGACCTTAGAAATGAATTTCCTTCAACTTGTTCACCAAGCATTTCATTCCCATCCACTCTAATTTGAAAGTTGCTGACCACTGTAGCTAGTTTGCAGAAGGGATATAAGTGTTAGGTGGAGGAATAACAGGGTTGGGCTTTTAAGATTGCTGCAAATTTTGGGATTTTATAGCTAAATCTGGTGTGTTTCTAAAGGATAGAAAAATGGGCTTCAAGTTAAGTTTTTGATTCACTCCCCCCCTCTCTCTCCCTCTTCCCCTCTCCCCTCTACACATATCATAATGACACAAATATGTTTTAGCAGTTTGTAAGCTATGGATTTTAGGAAGATGGAAAGCATCTGTGAGGAAGAAGTACTGTGCAGAGAAGACTAATGATGTGGGTGATCTGCACAATGAGTATAGCTCCTAACTCCCAGAACTGTGACCACTGCCTTGATGGAAGTGGGTGCAGTGCCATTTCATTCTATATGAAATTTCACCAGTTAGAGATTTACGTGAGGGCTTGAAAAGGTACACACCCATAGACAGATCATAGATCATTCTTTTCATCCTTTTATTTCTCGAAAATCCTTCAGCCTGTGTGAATGGGAGTTTTGATTAAGAAAGAGGAAGAAGGTTATCTTTCAGCAGAACATGCTTGGTGAGTAGTAGGAAACTCGCCAAAGGTGTGCCACATGCAAGCTGAGGCTGCATGAGGGCACCCCAGAGCCTGGGAGGGAGGAGAGGAGTCCAGAAGGGGCAAGTGGGAGTATTGGTGTGGAAATATTGTCTTCAAATAATTTTCAACAAAACGAGTATTTCTGATTCAACTCAGTTAACTAGACTTTTTCTTAATCAGTTAACAGACCATTTCATATCTTCATATCCAAAGCAATGTATACAGATTTTTTTTTAAAAAAAGAGCTGAAGTAAATATTAAGAAAATGCTTTATTTTTCTTTGTGGTTTATGATATACATTGGTTTGCTATTATTTGTATGTATATATGGGGTATATACAATGGATAACTAGATGAAATCACATATCTCAAAAGTGTTATCCTTAAAAGAAACTATTTTCTTCTTAGTATCAAATTTCTCTTTTTTTAAATATATTTTATTGATTTTTTACAGAGAGGAAAGGAGAGAGATAGAGTTAGAAACATTGATGAGAGAGAAACATCAATCAGCTGCCTCCTGCACACCTCCCACTGGGGATGTGCCTGCAACCAAGGAACATGCCCTTGACCGGAATCGAACCTGGGACCTTTCAGTCCGCAGGTTGACGCTCTATCCACTGAGCCAAACCAATCAGGCATCAAATTTCTCTCTTAATTGAGTTAACTACCACCTGAAATAAACTAACCTGTATCTTGTCACCCACAATTCCACATTTGTAGCTGCCCTTATCCTTACCGTCTGCACAATGTAGATGACTGTTGCAGCATAGCGAACTCCTTTGTTGAATCGCAGTTGTAAGTACTAGAAAGAATAAAGAACGTGCAAAGAGTCAGTGAGTCTTACCTAGAACTGCTAAGAAGTTTCATTTTTTTGTTATTCCTTGGAGTTTAGTGCTTTGGATTTGTCGTGTGCTTGTATGCTACTAGTACATACATGGCAGAACAAGAAAAAATATGGATTGTTTAAAGTCAAATATATATTAAAGCTCAATACTTGTTCAAGCTTCTCAAGATAATCAGGGAAGATAAATAGGTTGCTTAAAAAATATGAGCATTCTGGCTTGCTACTCAGGATTTTCCTACTGGATATACGAAAGCCATTGTCGCCTTTTATGTTCCCAATGCTCCAAAATTCACTTCAGGCCTTTATTTAATCTTTTCCAGACTACAGTAGTAGCTCCACAACTGATCTCCTGAATTCCAATCCTTCCCACCATTCTATTAACCACACATCAAGCCACATTGCTTCTCTTAATGGAACTCTGCTTATGTCTCTCTTTTTCTCAAAATCTTTATTCTGCATTGTGGATGCTTTATATTCCAAACACTCTATTGTCTGATCCATGCTTTTCTTACCTTAAGTAAAACTATAAAGACAGTATGGAGAAAAGGGTACGTGAAAAAAAATAACTAGATAAATAAAAAGACTCCTTGAATTCTACTTTGAGCTTTGCCACTATCTCACTCATTGATCTAAGCATCTGGTTTCTCATCCGTGAAATAAGAGAGACTGTTCCAACTGTATAATTTTACATATGAAAGAATGTATTGGCTTATTCAGAGCATTCAATGGCCATCTTTGCTGTGTCTACAGCTATTACTGCAGTCAAAAGTAAAATGAAAGTTCAACAGAAAAGTTGCACGCTTCGGGTTTGCACAGGTAACATTTAACATCATGTTCGATTATTTTCAAAACCCCAAACCTGATTTAGTCACATTATTTTCCATCTCAGAAAATAGCAAGTCAACTTTTCATGTTGGTTCAAGCCCAAATAATATGGAACATGGTTACTCCTCACTTCCTCTCACTGTCACATCCAGTTCATAAAATAATCGTGGGGCCTACCCCCCAATTTCAAAACACAGTTACTTAGGTTATCTCCTCTGCTGCCACTATAATACTATCATATCTTGCCTAGATTATAGCAATACCCTACTAATTAGACCCCCTTCTTCAGCAGTTAAAACCTTATAATCATTCTCAACATCCAGGTAGTGTAACACTCAAAATACAAATCCCATCATCTCACTCCTCTGCCCAAACATGGTAATGACACATATCACAGTAAAAATCAATCCTTACAATGACCTAAAAGGCTTCATAACATTGGTTAAGACCCTATCAGACCCTAAATATCTATTTCACAACAAACATTTTGTAATATCATTTACTATGCTAAAGTAAGATTCAATAGTGATATCATATACCTATCCATCTAATTTCTCAAAATTTATATATAATTGCTATGATACCACAAATTTAACTTAAAGAGAAATAAAAAGGAAAGAAATTTACCAAAAAAGTAATCTATAATGCTTAAAACCACTATAAAATAAGATATACAGTAATAATATCCGGTGTATTCTTACAACAAAAAAGTTTGAATTGAAGAGTAAGAAGTTTAGAAGCCATACAGTTTGATAAGTCCAAGAAAAATGAGCAAGCAGGTAGATCAGACACCAGCCTCTAAACTAGTGTTAGATGTAAACAACAAACTGGATTTATTAGTGTGCGATAAAAAATAAAAAATAACATTAATTGAAGTGGAGACAGCATGATGAGACTAATTATAAACTAAGTGGAGATAATGAAAATGTATGATATTGCAAATGAGCTGAGCCTAATATATAACTTGAGGGTGAGAACAATTCCTTATGCTTTGACAGGGGACAGGGTGGTGATAAAGTAGCACAGATGGCATATCTTGGTCTCGAAATCCCGCTGTATATCAAAGCATTTAAATCAGTTGGCTACTGCCGTGTAATATCCACCCCAAAACTCATGGGTTTAAAAACCAAGGATTTATTATTTCTCATAATTTTGAAGATCTGTTGAGTGATTCCTCTACTTGTTTCCCCTGGGCTCCCGTGGGGTTGAAATCAACTGGAAGATCAGCTGGGTGAGAAGGTCACTAAAGCCTCTGGTTGGTTGTTAGTTGGCAATGGCTGGTGACTAGGGTGTCTCTGTTTCCCTCTGTGTTCCCACTCATGCTCCAGAAGCTAGACCAGCTGGAACAGCTTCCTGGCATAGCAGTGTCAAGAGAGCATTCCAGGAAAGCAAAGGCAGAAACTCTGAGCCTAATGAAGCCTGAGCTACACACATCATTTCTGTCACATCCCGTTGGTCAAAACAAATCACAAGGCCAAGAGCTGGGGAAATAGACTCTACCCCTCCCATATTTAGTGCTTTAAAAGGTCCCAGAAAGAATATTTACCATATGGATCAGGAACAGGGAATGGATGATGAACAAAGAAACAAATTCAAGCTTCAATAGATAGACTAAGTCATAATATAAATGTGGGGACAGTAGCAACAACCACAATAATAATACAAAACTCTTATGTAGCATTTACTGTTTGCCAGGATGTGTTAAAAGTATTTGCATATGAATGTCAACTGTAATTGACAAAGTAAAAAATAATAAAAAAGGTTTTGCATTTACTCCTCAGAGATGTCTTTGGAGATAGGTGATTTTATCATCACTATTTCACATATGTAAAAACCAAGTACAGAGAAGTCGTTTTCCCAAAGTCATAGCAGAGCTGTCATTCAAAGCCAAATAGACTTGAGTCTGGAGTCCATACTCTTAATCCCTATGCCACACTTCCAGTTCTTACAGAGCAAGAGACAATCCCAAAATAACTTCATATGTACTTTACATAACCTTGATTTCTTACTATTGGAGAATTTAAAAATATGTAGAGGGCAACAAACTTTGTAAATTAAATTTATATACTATAACCCTATAGGCATTCCCATATGTAAATATATTTTAAAACAATAAGTAATTAGCTTTTTCAACCCATGTTTGTCCCATGGAGGCACTGATATTGTAAATATTTTTCTATTTCTGTACTAATTTAATAATCATTTAGTTTAAAGGATTAAAAAAAAAGAAGAAAAACAGCCCTCTTCTGTTAAGAGTCCTCTGCTGTGACTTAGTAAGGATGTTTGATGAGGAAAATAAACACTTCTTTTATAGAAACTAAATATTGGACATGCAAATTCAATTTTTAACTTGACATTTTTCTTGAGAATTATTGCAAAGTCAAAACACGACTACCTCATTTCCTCTCATTAAAATAATCCCCATATTTGTATTATTGAGCAATTCTTTCTCATTAAAATATTTTCTAATTTTTGAAAACACTACCATTTCCCCATTAAAAACTGGAGCATAGTAATAATTTGTATTAGAATGCTCATCTCTACTATCTGATGGAAAAAGATACAGACAAAATGGTTCACAGTAGGCTTCACTCACTATACAAGCTAGACTAAGTCATTCACCTGTACTATCTCTGTTTTCCTACAGAAAATGACAATATTCATGATACACATTCTTCGGGCTTTTCAGAATATGTTAATAATAATACAAATAATAACTTGAGCTCTCTCATTGAGAAGCTCTTAAAAGTTAGGCAATGCATTCAGTAGTCATACACAGGTTCTCATTTAATCCTTGAAATAGTCTCATGGTGTTGACTCCATGACTTTGTTCTACAGAAGAAAAAACAACTGTGTCTGTATCCAAAGCTTAAGCTTTTCCCAATAGCATTGTAATATTTTCTTAAAAATAAGTGAGTATTCTTCAATTACCACATATTATCATTAAGAGGATGTGTATTATTAGAGAAAAAAGCAAAAACAACAAAAGATTGATCAAATGGAGAGAAAATAGCAACTCCTCCCAAAACAAAGAATAAGGGGAGAGTTGTCTTACCTCATAAGTGCTGGTGATGCCAGATCTGTAGAACACAGGCAGAAAGAGCTCTGATGTGAAGATGATGACAAAAGTATACGCAATGCAGAAGAGTGTGAAGGAGGCCCCAAAGCGGTAGACCTCAGAAGGGGCCCCCAGGACAGTGACAGCTGACATGAAGCTGGCTGTCAGAGACAACGCCACGGGACCACAGCTCATTTGTCTCCCCCCAACCAGGAACTCCCTTGAAGTTGCCTTCTTTCTCTCCTTAATAGCAAAGAACACCCCGATTCCAGAAGAAATGATAAAGAGGGCTGCAAATACGACATAATCCCAAGCTGCAAAGTTCTTCACCTCCATGCCGGGAAGTTTAACACCAGAGAATTGCTTTCAACCAGGTCTCAGGGAAAAGTTGCTTCCAGAAGCAAAGCTCAGTACAGCAGATGCTTTGCTGAGAGAGCAGACTAATTCTGTGAAGAGAGCGATGACCAGAGACACCTTTATGGATCTTCAGACACAAAGCGGTACTTAGGGAAGATCTCAAAGATTGACTACAGAGAGGAATCTGGTAATGGTGTTGATACCAACAGATGAGAACTTGAAATCTGCCCCTGACCAGGAGCTGTCTGTTCCTCTACTCAAGCATATGCCTCAGAGAAAGAATTCAGATGTGTTCTGAAATTAATAACCAAGTGGGAGGTGGGGGTGGGGGATTGGAGGTGGAATGGACTTGCCAGATAACATGCTCTTTTATCTGCTAGATTTTTTAAAAAAAAACTTAAAGTTAAACATTACTGGGAAACAGAGGTGATACAGGTTGACCACCTCAGCATTTTAAATTAGTCAAATGGAATCTGTAAAATGCAAACACAACCCCCTCAGTGGTGTCTTTGTCCTGAGTGAGGAAGGGTGGAGGATGTGAACCTGCAATCGCCTGAGGCAGTGAGTGTGGAGGGAAAGGAGCAAAGACCGAGGAATCAGGAGACCTTTGCTCAAGTCGGCTGTAGCTTCAGTGAGCTGTGATACTGTTAACAAATCATTTAACCTTTCTGAGACTCATATGGTCAAGGGAATAATGATCCTACAGGGTTGTTATGAGTCTTTACGTGTCTCAAATTTCCTTTCCCTCTTTTATCTGATCTTTAAAATGAAAAAATAATATTTACCTTATTGGCTTACAGGGAAGCATACTGAACTTAACAGTTGATTCTCTCTTGAGTCTAGGCTTTAAAAAATAGACTTACCAAAAATTTAATAAATTATTTGTAGTCCTCAGCTTGATCTTCTCCATCTCTCCTTCATTTTGACCAATTTACAATACTTGTACCTAGAGCAGGGGTGGGCAACCTGTGGCATGCGTGCCAAACATGGCACGCCAGTAACTTTTGCTGGCACGCAAAAACCTCTCATATAATCTTCCATTTACAATTTTTTTCTTAATATTGACTTTTTTATTTTTCAGATAAATTCAGTGTAGGTGCATCTTAGATAAATAAATAATTTTACATAACAAGTTATCTTAAAGACCATAGACATGGATTGACGAGAGAGGGGAAGAGCAATATCTATGCCTCTGCCTTAACTCTCCCTGCCTTCCTAGATCCGACCAGTGTTTTGGTTTCATCCACATACGCTTGTGAATCTTTGTTCTCAGTGATGAATTTTGTTAAGTCTCATAATAGGAGTAGCCTGACTGATGAAAGTAGTAGCTCGTGCATATCTCTGAAGGTCACGAAATATAAACCTGATGTAAAATCTCTGTCATCAGTGATGCAACAGCAAAAGTCCCACTGATAATATCAAACGGAGTTATAAAGTTTTCTGTCGGACTATCAGTGTACATGTATACATTAAAAAATAAATGTATTTTTCATCATCATATACAGTGGTTTTGTCGCTTGAATGAATTTTATTATTTCTTCAAGGTTCTTCACATATGTATACCTTAAGAGATATCAAGTAGGCATAACATGTTCTCAAAAAATTAGGGTTGGCACGCAGAAGAATTTTGAGTCAGAGATTTTGCTGGTTTTGGCATGCACTCACAAAAAGTTTGCCCACCCCAATACTACGGGCTTAGTTAGAATTAGGACCAAGATAAATGAGAGAAGGTGAAAATCCAGTTATAGATACTTGTTTCTGCTCTTGTTAAACTCTATTGATTGCTCTGAAGTATCCCCAGCAAGCCTTTGGTGGCAATTGCTCAGTGTTGTTTATGCTTCTCTTTTCTTCTCAAGGCCTTTCCCAGCCCCACCTCAGCAAAGCCTATCGATGCCACAAGATATAGTTCATGTCTCCTGTGCTCCTGGAAGCCTTTCCTGACTCACACTTCTTGCTTCCCCACCCAACTCCTGTAGGATGCGACCTTCCTTGGTACTCACTTTGTAATCTGTAAGTACCCTCACCTATTTCAAAGCATCTCTATATGTATGTCTACATGAGTTGGTCATATAATCAACTCATTAAAGATAGAGGCACAAGTCTCGGTCAATAGAGTGTAATGAATAACAGCTATTGTAGAAAATTAAAACTGTATTTAAATTAAATAATTTAAAAACAAAAGAAGAAAAAAATATCCATTATGCCCAAGGCCAGAAACATTTCCTATCAAACATAAGAAACTCTAATTTTGCTTTGGACATCCAGGTCACTGAATAAATCTTTGATTATTTGTTTAGTCTAGATACTGTCTTCACTCCCTACTTTGCTCCATGAATTTAGGCCACAGAAAACTTTGATGGCTGAAATGTGCTTTTAGTTACAAATAAACATGCAAAAGCTCTGCCAAGAGCTGTCTGTGACATGTTGCTTACCTTCCTCCTCTAAGTTTGCAGAGCTGATATGATCTGGATTAAGGAAAAAGGAGGTCTTTAATATTTTTACCTTAACCTAAAGCTTTTCATTTTTTTCATCATAAGGTATTCCACTTGTATAACAGGTTTTTGTTTGTAATGATCTCAGCAGAAAATCAGAATTCTGGCTTTCAGAGGCTTGACTATTTTATACACCACCTAAGCATTAGTATTGAATCCACAAGGCACATAAACAACTTGTACAAATCAGGTGAATATTAATTCCAGACACTATTATTAGTGATGCTCCCAGGTTAAATACCAGGAGCTTGAAGCTCCAGCGTCAATGAATACTGCTAGTTTTAATTAACCTGCATCTACATGAACTCCATTAGTCTTGGATTTCAAAACACCCTGGAAGCAGAGCAGCTAATCGTTTGGAATGTGAAGGAAATTTTGTGCCTCTGCTTGCAACATTTTGCTGATTATAAGGCATTGCATCAATGTGTTCATTTAACTCTCACTTGAGTAAGGGTATAAAAGAGAGGATTGGTAGCATTCCATGTCTTCAAACTCTCTTATAAAAACTCACTCTATGCAAGGTTTTTTCTGATTATAAGGCATAGCATTAACTTATTAATAACTTTTCAGGGAAAACAAAAGAACCAATACATTCAATTGCTACATCAACTAGAAAGCACATCCCTATTAACATGGGGGGTGGGGAGGAAGGGAAAACATGCTTCTTTGGCCTGAGGAAACCCCAATATTTCCTACACCCTTTTGCAGGTGCCACAAATGCCACCATCGACACTGTATTCCTTTAGTGTAAGGTTGTTAGAATGTAAACACCATCACCTGCCACATACACACTCCCCTAATAAGTAGGTTAGATTTAGAATTGTCATTAATAGTTTCTGTAGAGTAAAATAGTTCTGCAAGGTGCACACAGCAAGTAAATTATATTGGAAAAGAGAAAGAGAGTTTGAGGATATGGATTGCTACCAAAAGGAGGAACCTGTAAAGATAGAGCATCCAAAGAAAACCATGTTGCTAATACCGTACAATGCACACGGTGTTTACTAGTATTTTGGCCTGGGATAGAAAGGAGGAAAATATACTGGGATGGACCTTGGCCATTCTGAGACTGCACTGCTTCCAAAAGCCAGTGGAAGCAAGAGTAGAGTAGTAAGGTAAATGGATGTTGTTTGGTTTGGTTTTGATTTTAAACCAGGAAGTAGCAAGATCAAAAGTGTGCCTCAGCCCTAACCCGTTTGGCTTGGTGGATAAAGCGTCAGCCTGCAGACTGAAGGGTCCCAGGTTCGATTCCGGTCAAGGGCATGTACCTTGGTTGTGGGCACATCCCCAGTAGGAGGCGTGCAGGAGGCAGCTGATTGATGTTTCTCTCTCATCGATGTTTCTAACTCTCTATCCCTCTCCCTTCCTCTCTGTAAAAAATTAATAAAATATATTTTTTTAAAAGTGTGCCTCAGAGAGGTTCATCTGCTCTAATAATTTTACATGATGCATTTTTTCCCCTCCAGTGGACATTATCAAGGATGTCTCCAAGAACTCCTCACAATGTGAGTAAGCTGCTTAAATCTGAGAAAACTGTCCTCCTACAGAGTGTTGCTCTCACCACGCATGCTATCTAACAAATCCCTAGGACACAAGCTGGTGACGCCAAGTGATAGTGGAATAGGAATTATTGCTTTGTATCAAACTGCAAAAGGACTATAGCCATTTCTGCCTCCCAATTACATTGAATAATTCCTATTTTGAAGAAGATAATTCTATATGATGCTTACTTCTGCTTATGAAGACTGATGAGAAATGGACCATATCCAAGAATTGTATCATGAAAGCAAAAATACTGAAAATCCAGAGATTCTGCTCCTCCTTTGAACTGCAAAGGACATGACACATAATAGAGGTCTCTTGATTGGCTGGCACTTTTATGGATATAGAAAGGGTAGGTCTGAGGACTAAGTGGCAAAGACAATGAAACTCCGCTTATAGACAACAGGCTTTATTTTTTTCTTCTTAAATTCTTGGGGAATGGTACTGGAAACTTGGCATAAGAATGAAGACAAGGAAATGGTACATGAATCAGGCTGGTGGCAGGGACATTTCTCAGAATCTTCTCTCTCTCTCTCTCTCTCTCTCTCTCTTTCTCTCTCTCTCTCTGAAATTAAAAAAAGGGTTGCCCTGTCTAAGTGGCTCAGTTGGTTGGAGCATCATTCGTACACCAAAAAGAGGTTGCAGGTTCGATTCCCAGTCAGGACACATGCCTAGGTTGTGGGTTCTATCCCAGTCCAGGCCTGTACAACACAGGCAAGCAATTGATGAGTCTCTCATATGAATGTGTCTCTCTCTATCTTTCTCTCTCCCTTCTTCTCTCTCTAAAAACCAACAAAAACATCTTCGGGTGAGGAATGAATGAATGAATGAATAAATAAATAAGTAAGTAAGTAAGTAAATAAATAAATAAATAGCTGGAGGATTTAGAACATCCATGAATTGACACTTGAATTTCATTCATATACTAGAAAATATTTGTTCCCCAAGCCTTTGTGACATAG